AAGGTGGAATCATATCCAATAGTGTGTGCCCATCAGCTTTTGCTTATGCGTTCATCCGTCTGGAGACACTTCCACCTCGTAGCTCTTGTGAATTGTGCTGCTCTGAACACAGAGACACAATATCTCAAGACCCCACGTTCAGTTCGTTTGGGTGTATACCTAGAAGTGGAATTGCTGGATCACATGGTAATTCTGTTTCTTTGAGGAGCCATCATACTTGTGTTCCAGCTGCTGAATCATTTTACATTCCTGCCATGAGTGCTCAGGGGTCCAGTTTCTCCACATCCTCACCGGCACTTGTTTATTGCTTTATTTTTTTTTAATAGTATCCATCCTTATGGATGTGGGGTGATATCTGGGTTTCCCTGATAGCTCCGTCGGTAAAGAATCCACCTGCAAAGCAGGAGACTCCGGTTAGACTCCTGGGTCACGAAGATCCACTGGGAAAGGGATAGGTACCCACTGCAGTATTCTTGGGCTTCCCTTGTGACTCGGCTGGTAAAGAATCCGCTTGCAGTGCGGGAGACCTGGGTTTGATGCCTGGGTTGGGAAGATCGCCTGGAGAAGTGAAAGGCTACCCACTCCAGTATTCTAGCCTGGAGAATTCCCTGGACTGTATTAGCCCAAGGAGTCACAAAGAGTCAGACACGCCTGAGCAACTTTCACTTTCCCTGACAATTAGTGATGTTAAGCATCTTTTCATGTGCTTATTGGCTGTTTGTCCATCTTTAGAGAAATGCCTATGCAAGCTCTTTCCCCTTTTTTTCTTAATTTTTAACTTTTTTTATCTTTTAAATTATGAAAGTATGATAACACATTTACAGGAGACTTTGAAAATACAAAACAAAGTTACATATAGTTCCACTGTATATTACAATTTTTTAAGTAGATAAACTATGATTTTCAGTCAGAGTTTCAATATCAAACTCGCAAAAATTAATAGAATGAATAGACAGAAAAGTAGAAGGATATAGTAGAGCTGACAAGCACTGTGAACCAATTCAACATAATTAAGACTCATACAATTTTCACACAACAGCAGGGTACAAATTCTACTCAAGTTCCCATAGACTATAAACCTTTGCCCATGTTTTAATCTGGCTGTTTCTTGTTGTTGAGTTTTAGAGTTCTCTATATAGTCTAGATACTAATCTTCTATCAGATGCATGATTTGCAAATATGTTTCTTCCATTCTGGGGGTTTCGTTTTTACTCTGTGAATAGTGTCATTTGATGCACAAAATTTTAAAAAATTTTCATGAAGTCCAATTTGTCTATTTTTTCTTTTGTTACCTGTGCCTTTGGTCATGGCCAAGAAATCACTTTCAAGTCCAATGTTGTGCAGCTTTCTGTCCTGTATTTTCTTCTAAAGGTTGTCTTGTTTTAGGTCTTACATGTAGGTCCGCCCTTCGATTTGAGTTGAGTTTTGCATGGTGTGAGGTGAGGTCCAGCCTCATTCTTTCCCATGTGGATACCCGGTTTTCCCGGCGCTATTTGTTGAAAAGGCCGTCCTCTTTCTAATGGATGGCGCTGGCACCCTTGTGAAAAATGACTTGAATGTGTGTGCGAGCTCCCTGTTGTATTTCTGGGCTCCCTGTTCTATCCCATTGCGCTATGTCTGTCTTTAATGCACTTGCTTATTTTTAAAGATAGAAGTGTTGCCATACTGTACACACTTTTCACAGCCGGCTTTTTAAAAGCTTAGCAGTATGCTGTTTACATGTCTCCTCGTCGGGACAGAATCTCAGCCGTGCTGAATGGTGCTGCTCACTGTGGTCCGTGTTCATCCGAGATTCATGTAAATCATCTGTCGTTGGACTTTCAGGAAGATCCCCCAGAGAAGGAAATGGTGCCCACTCCAGTATTCTTGCCTAGAGAATTCCATGGAGAGGAGCCTGGTGGGCTACAGTCCACGGGGTCACAAAGAGACAACTCAGCGACTGGGCACAGACATTCAGGAGGCTTCCACTGAGGTGGTGTCTCTGGTGTGTTATGGGCAACGTTGTGATAATCTTCCCTGATTGGGTTCTATTAAAAGTGCCTGGCACAGGCTAAGTGCTGTGAAAGTATTTGTTAAATAAAATCTGTACAAGCACCTTTATCATTCTCTCACGATGCATTCTTCAAAGTCGCGTTTCTCAGTTAAAACACGTGTGGTCCGCCTCTCACTTGGATGGACGCCACCCTGAGCTGGGCCTGAGCAGACCCTATGGAGTGGGCAATCCTGTGCCCAGGCCCCATGCGGCCCTCGGCAGGGCGTGGGGTCTGGATCTTGGCCCCCAGAGCCGCCCTCCTCTCTCCACACCCACGTTGGATCGTGGCTCCAGCACTTGCCAGCGGGGTGACCTGGGCGGATTACCCGACCTCTTGGTGCCTCGGTTTCCCACCTGGCCTCCAGCGTGGCCGCAGTGTCTGTCCTGCAGGGCAGCGTGTGAGGCCCCCGGCAGCCCAGTCCTGTCTCCTTGATCAGCCAGAGCAGCTGGACTCCGAGTGCCCTGAAGCTCGGGAGAGCCCTGAGGCCCTGCCCGTTCTGGAGCACCACTTTGCTTCCGCCAGTCCGTGATGGAACGCGACCAGGCTGACAGAGGGCACGCTCGTGTGCTCATCCGCTGCATGGGTGGGCCCGGCGGCATTGGATTCGTCTCTGTGTTTTCATTCTTCAGAGCTTAACGGATACTAATCCCTCCTGTCACCTCAGCATGAACACCCTCAAACTGGAAGTTCATTCTTATCGTGTTGTTACTGTTTAGTTGCTAAGTCGTGTCTGCCTCTCGTGACCCCGTGGACTGTAGCCCTTACAGGCCCCTCCGTCTGTGGGATTTCCCCGGCAAGAACACTGGAGCGGGTGCCGTTTCCTTCTCCATTCATATTACTGACCTTACTGCTGCATGGAGTCTACCGGGGTTCTCTAAAGGTAAGGGGGCTGGGCGCTGTCCTGGAGCGCTGGACGGGGGGGCAGGAGCTGTCCGGCGTCACCGTCTGTTCCCGGGAGGATGTGGCCAGACCCGCCTAGTCTAGGGTTCCTGCTGCGCAAACAGAGAAGCCGCCCCCCACCGCATCCTCCCCACGGCCTCTGAATGGAGCGGCCGTCTGCCTGGAGCATCTCGGAGCCGCTCAAAGAGCTCGCGATCCTGCTTAGAAACGAGGGAGCTGGTCCCTCCCCCTGGATGTAGTCATCGCGTGGTAAATTCCATCTGAAAAGAGGAGCCGAGCGCTTTGCTGAGTCACAGAACCCGGGGAGCTGATTGCACAGGCGCCGCCAGAACGTCCCGGGGTCAGAGGAAGGTGGAGGAGAGGCCGCGGACCGGAGGGGAGAGGCCGCGGACCGGAGGGGCTCCAGTGTAAGTGCTTCGCTTTGAGCGCTGCGGGGGCTCTGCCGTGTTCAGGTGGGGCTGAGGGCTTTCTGCACGGGTTTCCCCGTGTGAGCTGGCTCCTGTGTTCAGCGTGCACACGAGTGTAGCTGCAAAGTTCACGGGGGGCAGGGGGCAGGTAAGCCCCCTTACGTGTGCAAGGGGCATCAGAGGGCGTGGGCCCCACCCGCCCTCTGCTCCTGCGGCATCTGGGGGAGCCCTGGGCCCAGGGCGCCGGCCGCTCCTCCTGTGTCTGGGCTGTGGGATCCGTGCTTAGAGCTGGAGCCGGTCTCTCGGCAGCTGTGGGGGTTGGGGTGGGGGCCGGCTGTGTGGCTCCGTGCTGGGTGTGGCGAGCACCTCGGCTCCCTCGTCCTGGCGGTGGGATGGCCTGAGGGGGGCTCGTGGGCCAGGTTTTTTTTTTAATAACAGGCATGTTTATGGCTCCCTCCTCACCATCTGTCTGCCTTATGGAGGGATGGGGTCTTCTCTTTAAAACTTAATCAAGAATCACAGTCTGTCCATCGACATCCTCTCTCCTGCAAGGGACTCAAAGTGTTTGGGGGTGACAGCAGCTTATCACCTGATTTCCAGCACTTTTCCTTGAAAGAAGTGGGTGTTGTTGCGCGTGCCTCGGTCTCTCCAGAGAAGAGGAAGTCAGCAGTTGAGTGGAGCTGGTCGCGCTTGGTGGAAAGACCGTCACAGGCCAAACATAAATGATTCTGACACGTGTTGGATTGTGAGTGGGCTCGCTGTGAAGCTGTGTATGTGGACTGCAGCTGCAAACACTGTTGCCTTTGACTCTGCCACTGGTTCAAAGCCCAGGTCTGAGATGCAGATTTGAGGATGCTTGTGGCGGCTCTGGGCCTTTGCCCGGCTGTTCCAGTGCTCCCCGAGTTCCGGCGGGGAACAGCACGGCAGAGCAAAGCCGGCCACGGCGAGACTTCAGTTCATCTCGATGGCACCACCGACCCAGGGTCAGCCTCTGAGCTGCCCTGGGGTCTCAGAAAGTAGGTCGCACCTGCCTGGTAGAGGCCAAGGGCCACGTGGGCTGGCGCAGGTGTGTCCAAGCCGTCCGTCCTTGGCTCTGGGAGGACGCGAGGGCTCGCTTATGAAATGCAAATGCCGCACACGTCAGACTGGGTGCTGGGCAGACCCACCACCTGGAGCCCTTACCTGACAATGTGGGACCACAGGGCGCAGCCCTGTGGCTGGTGAGCTGGTGGGGGCGGGAGGGAGGGCGTAGGAAGAGCTCCGCGTCAGCCGCAGACCAGGGACCCCTGCCCTGAGACAGCGGAGTACCCGCACGTGCCCTCGGCGCTGAACGGACTGTGGGGGTCCGTTCAGGGCGGTCCCACCTCTTGCGGGTTTTCGCCGCTCTTTAGACTTCCCAGGTGATGCTGGTGGTAAAGAACCCTCCTGCCAATGCAGGAGACGTTAGAGACACACGTTCAATTCCTGGGTCCGGAAGGCCCTCTGGAGGAGGGCATGGCGACCCACTCTGGTATTCCTGCCTGGAGAATCCCATGGACAGAGGAGCCTGGCGGGCCACAGTCCTTGGGGTCGCGAGGAGTCGGACACGACCGGAGTGACTGAGCACACAGCACTGCTCCTTGGCTTCCCGGCGATCGAGCTGGACGTAGAGTAGGTGCTGATGTTCATTCTCCACTCGGCCCCCGAAGCAGCCCCCCTCAGTGAGGGACTGCAAAGCCCGGGACTCGGGTCACAGCGACAGGATGCCATTTGGAGGGTGTCACCCTGTCTTCCTCCCCGAGCCTGGCGGGCACAGTTCCTGGCTCAGAGGCCCTGGCTGGGGTCCCCAGCCCACGGCGAGCGGAGCTCCGGAGCCCGGGCCCAGGGCTGGCCTGCACCATCCGCCCCAGGCCCTTGGTGCCGGGCTGGCGCTTGTCCCTTTGGCGCCGCAGGAGGAGGCCACCTCGGGTGGGGGAGGGCCGCGGGGGCCGCACCGGGGCACGGAGCATGGGGCAAGGATGCGGTCGATGGCAACCTGGCCTCAGAGGGAAGCCAGGCCCACGCCTGGGGCGGGAAGGCATTCCACGCTGGGACTGTCCCAGGCGGCCTAGGGGCTGGGACTCGACCGGAAGGTCCTGAAGCTCGAGGCCAAGAGACCCTGTGGGTCCCAGGGACCCCGTGCTCCGCGGCCGGTGGCTCTGACGTCGCGCTGCGCCCCGGCGCCCTGCTGGCTGAGCGTGGCCCCTGGGTCGGGGGTCTCTGGCCTCTGCTGGGACTCTGCCGGCGGCTGCTGGGCTGGCCCACCCTGGCTTTGGCTCGAAGCGCCGCCTGGGTCTTCCTGCGCATGGGGAGCTCTGTGCAAGCCCAGCAGTGGCAGGGCTGCGGGGACGGGGCCTGGGAGGAGGCTGTGCAGCGCCCCCAGAAGGCTTTCCCCAGGCCCCCCACCGTCCGCTGCTGGGTGCCACCCGGCCCCGTGTCCTCTTGGGTAACGGGGCGGCTGGGAGCAGGAAGGACCCTGGAACCCATCGTGTCCACACTGAGGTCCCCCAGACTGACCTTTGTGTGGCCCCTACGTTTTTTGGAGATGGACTGTGTGCAGGAGGCGATGCACTATTCCTAAAGCAACAAGGGACGCTTGTCAGGGTCTCACACACTCAGTGTGAGGTTCGTCTGAGGGCAGGCCCCCGCGCGGCAGCTGATACACGCGTCTCAGGGTTTTACTAAACAGCGGCCTTGACTGTGCCCTGCTGTGGTCTCAGGGCGGGACAGAGGCAAACCCAGAAGGGCTTTCCGGTGGCGGTTAGCAGATGTGGGGCCCAGGGGTGGGGTGGAGTCTGGGGGCTCCGCCGAGCCCACTGCTGCGGCTGCTCCACGCGGCAAGTGCTCCCTGAGACTCTCACACGGGTGTCCGTGGGGCCAGGCCCAGCGGGACGCGGGGTGGGGTGGTCCCTGCCCGTCTGACCCAGCTGCAGAGCCCAGAGCGGCTGAGCGCTTGTGCACGCCCGCCAGCACCTGCGGGCGGCCCCGGCTCCCTCACCCGCGGCTCCATGGGGCCGGCAGTGCGGTGCTGGCCCTCACCTGCCAGTCCCTGAGGAGGGGAGGCCCCGTCTTCTCGTTTGCTTATTTGCTGTCTGTTCACTCCTTTGGAGAAAGTGAAAAGTGAAAGTGAAAGCCGCTCAGTCGTGTCTGACTCTTTGCGACCCCATGGACAATACAGTCCATGGACTTCTCCAAGCCAGAAAACTGGAGTGAGCAGCCTTTCGTTTTTTCAGGGGATCTTCCCAACCCAGGGATCGAACCCAGGTCTCCCGCACTGCAGGAGGATTGTTCACCAGCTGAGCCACAAGGGAAGCCCAGGAATACTGGAGTGGGCAGCCTGTCCCTTCTCCAGCAGATCTTCCTGACCCAGGAACCTACCCTGGGTCTCCTGCATTGCAGGCAGATTCTTAACTGAGGTAGCAGGGAAGCGCTTTGGTGACAGGTGTTTAAAATCATTTGCTAGTTTTTAAATTGGATTATTTGTCTTCTTTTTAATGAATTTTGAAATGTAAAAAATATATATATTCTGAAGACAAGACCTTTATCAGATTTGTGTATCTTGTAAATATGTTCTCCCAGCCTTGGCTTGTCTTTTCATTTTCTTAACCATACCTTTCAAAGACAAATTTTACATTTTTATGAAGTCTAATTTGTCAACATTTTCTTATATGATATTTGTGCTTTTTTTGCTAAGAATGTTTTTTTCTAATCCAAGATTCATGGAAATTTTTATCTATTTTCATCTGGAAATTCTATAGTTTTAGTTTCACATTAGTTCCATGATCTATTTCTACTAGGTTTCCAAACATGAATTGAGCTGTGGGGTTGTGTGGTTTTTTTTCTTTTTTGTTTGTTTTTGGCATATAGATGCATAACTGCTCTAGCACCATTTGTTCAAAAGGCTGTCTTTTCTCCACTGAATTTTCTCGTACCTTTTGTCAAACACTAATTGGCCAGATAATACATGGGGCTCTTTCTCGGTTCTGCTCCACAATCTGTGTGTCTTTGCATCATAAGTTGTTTACACATCACATCATTTAATATTATATGCATACATATACACCTATATGGGGCCTCCAAGTGGCTAGTGGTAAAGAACCTGCCTGCCAGTAAAGGAGACACAAGAGACTCGGGTTTGATCCCTGGGTGAGGAAACTCCCCTGGAGGAGCGCAGGGCAACCCACTCCAGTGCTCCTGCCTGGAGAATCCCATGGACAGAGGAGCCTCTCGGGCTACAGTCCAAAAGGTCGCAAGGAGTTGGACATAACTGAGCATATGACATATACACAAATATGACGTCATATATTATGCATGTATCACTATAGTTTTATTGTAAGCTGAAAGTCCTGGTGTTGATTTCCAACTCCAAATCTGTTATTTTCCAAAATTACCTGTTAGACTTTCCCAAACTGCAAATTTAGATCATTTGCTTTTTCCATATCTGTTTTAGAAACAGCTTTTCAGTTTTTACAAAACAAAGTCCATTGGAATTTTGAGGTTACATTTGACGTCTATTTCAATTTTGGGGAAATTAACATAACAATATTAAGTTTTGTGCTCCAGGAACAGTGTATCTCTCCATTTAGATCTTTAACTTTCTCTCATGAATGTCTTGGGGCTTTAAGTGTATAAATATTGTAACTATTTCATCTGATTCCCAAGTTTTCTGTCTGGTAGTTGCAACAGCGGAGCATCTCTGAATCTAGTTCTGATTGCTGTGTTTGTCGACAATGGATTGTTTTCCTTGCTTTTTTCCGATCTCATAATTTCCTTTTGAATGTCAGGCATTGTCTGTGGAAGAGTGGAGCCTTAGGGAACATGTATGCCAGAAATGGGCACCTGCCTCCGTGGGTTAGAGTGTGGGTTTGAGGGACCCCGGCAGCAGGGAAGTGGGTCAGGGGGTGTTACCCTCCAGCCGTGAGGCCTCGAGCTGCCGGGCAGCGTGGGGCCAGGAGGGGAGTTACTGTGTGTTCCTGCTCCGCCCTTGCTGTCTGGAGCTGTGCCCACTGGCATCTTGGAAGGGTCTCGCTCTGAAGCGGGGCTCCTGGCCCAGCCCTGGGCTGCTGTTGCTTGTACCCGTGCAGGCTTGTCTGGGGGACGGGGTCTCGTTCTTCTGGTCCAGCCTGAGGAGTCGAGGCCCGTGTGCCTGGACTCAGTGGGGTTCTTCTCAGCCTTCCCGCCCCTTCCCCAGCCCCCAGCTCTGCTTCGCATCCCTGCAGGATCCTGACCCCCAGGGCCTCCGTCTCCCTCCCCAGGGCAGGGTCTTCTCCTCCTGCCGGGGCAGGGGGAAGCAGGGGTCTCCTCCCACCCTGTCCCCGCGGCCCTGAGGACAGGAGGGTTTGCTGGTCTTCTCCCACTGCGCCTGTGAGAAGAGGCTGGGGGTGGGGCGGCCTCTCCAGCCTCCCTCCTCCCTCCGCCTGCCTCACATCTGGGGCCAGCGACCCCAGGCTGGTGTGCTGCCCTGTCCAGGCCGCAGAGACGAGCTGCAGTTGGGGCTGAGTTCTTCCCCTGAGCCCTGCTCACGGTGAGCCAGCTCAGGCGCCCGGGTCCCCTGGGACTGGCTTGTCGCCCTTTGCTTCTCTCAGGACCTGACTCTTCCTGGGCCCAAAGAAACACATGATTTGGCAGATTATGTGGCTCTTTGTCATGTTTCAGGACAGAAGGGACATTTTCTCATGACTTTCCACATCTTAAGCAGAGGCAATTTTCTCCTATGTTTTAAAAATCACTTTTCCTTTTTTGCAAATTATGTCTTTTGATAGTTATCTATTTATCTGGTGAGATCTTAGTGTTACTGTTGAGTTCCACAATCTCCTAATATAGTAAAAACACGAGGTTTGTTGTATTTACTGTAAACGATGTTTCCACTTGTTTTTAGCTTATGGTGGAATCTATTGATCTTGCCTCCTGTGGGTTCCTTTTATCCCCTAAGCCTAAAAAGTCCTGTCTCCGGAGACTTCAGAAATGCTCCTTTCTGCATCTCCCCAATAGTTTTTAATGATTTGATTTTTTTGCCCTTAATTCTCTTAATCCATTTAGAATTTCATGTCAGAAAGGCAGTGTTCCACAGCTTTATTTCTCATTCACGATCGGCCGGCTGATCACCCCAGTGCTCGTGAATGGTCCTCTCCCCTTGCTGGTGAATATGATGTATTCTATCCTTAGACGTAACATGGGGCCTCTTTCTGAACCGTGTGATCTTTTTCACTCGTCTGGCCATTCATGAGGCTGGGTGTTTCCTGCTTAGTAAAACTGCGTGATTTAGACTAAAGAGACGGTTTTCCCATTATAGAAGCATTTGCCTCGTCTCTCCCAGGCCCATTTCAAGCTGGTGCGGGACGGATCAGTCAGAACCGTCAGCGCGTGGCGGCGGGATCCGTCCCTCGCTCCGGGACCCGTGCGGCCTCTGCGAGGCCTCGGTGGAGGCGGGCGCGGAACGTGGCCAGCCCGCTGCCCTGGGGCCTGAGCCGGGTGTCCTCTGGCAGGTCCTCCCAGAACCTCCTCCTCTTCCTTGCAGCCTCTGCTCCCCTCCAAGGCCCGGGCCCTCCCCTCCTGGGCTGCCTGTCCTGGGCTTCCAGAAACTCTGGGCACCCTCCCTGGGACGGTCCAGTGCTGGGGTCCAGCCCCGGCAGGATCCAGGGGAACCCTCAGGATGAACGGCGTCGGCGAATGAGAGAGAGAGAGAGAGAGAGAGAGACCAGACCGGGATATGTGGCAGAGTCTGGTGGTTGCTTTATTTTTCACCATAGCCTTTATACCCTAAGTCGGTACATTTCTAAGGGGCAGATGAGCACACAGACTTGGTTTAACGTTACATCAGCTTGTCCTTCACGAGACCAGTGCTCTGTATATTTTTGTTTGTGAGAGTCTTCTCCCATAGGTTTTTGTACATTATCTTCTGGCCTTGAGGTTAGCAGGAAACAGAAAAGTGGCAGTTTCATGGTACAGGAGGTTGTAACATAGTAGAAATACAATCCTGTTAACATAAAAGTCAGTCTTTTTGCAGAAATTCTCAGCTAAATTTATCTAAAAAGTTGAACACACAAAGACTCTGTGGCTCTGGTGAGGCAGCCCCTGTTCAGCACTCTTGGTTAAAATTAACAATTATCTTATTGTTTTTACACTAGGGCTAAACTCTTATTTTACTATATCTTTAACTATATTAACAATAGTTTCCACTGCACAACCTCATCACATTAACATCAATCAAACGTTGATCCAATAACCACTTTTAAAACAATATTTTTTGTATTCTCTAATAGGGCTTCCTCACCCCCCAAAGGGCTCTGTGCCTATTAGGGCCTTTTTTATGGTTAATCTCTATGTATAATATCTTTTGGCTTTCAGGCCTGTTGACAATTTATGGCTTGCACCTGGTGCAACTTTAAGCAACTTCAGTAGCCGACCCTGTCTTTTTTGTGGTTAATCTATTTTCTTTCTATTAGGTGTCATCTCCATGGGAACTAGGTAGGATTA